TAGTTCGAATTTCAGTGACGTCATGTGAAGAACAGTTATTATCCCTCCCCACTCCTAACCCGTCACCACTTACAACGTGGCATCGCATAGCTTTCTGGGAGTGGCGCACGGCGCGCTATGATCGTTGGTATACGAGGATTACAGAATCGGGAATCCAGTAAGGTATAGGGGCATATTTACTTTCACGTTTTTCCCTCGGAAACAAACGTTTACGCGCTTTTTAAGGAACTAGAACACTCCACACGTTTCGAGATCTCCTCGAAGCCTCTTGGGTGTGTAGTGAAGTTGTCTGTACTCATTTAACATGGCGAAACTCGTGGCGGTGTGTCGGGACGAAGCTGACTTCGCATTCGAGCGTCGACAAATACCTTTGAATATCGAGGACACCTTAACGGTACGGTACATAGCATCCATTGTGTTTTATTTCCTTCGAAAAAGAATACCTTCCCGTTAGGTGTTTGTTTGATATCTATTCTTGTGGTGTCGTAGATGATCATGGAAATTCCAGAAACTGTGATTTCAACTCGTCAAGTCAACGAATGCGAACTTCAGTCGTTCAACAAGGTTAGTTTATTTTGAATTTTTTAGCCTCGATGTCTATTTTTTGAAGGGAATTTATATCTTTTAGGAGTTTCCTCTTGAGATGAAGTAGATCTGTTGTGGTAAACTGTAATTTCTTTACGAAAATGTCCTGCATTGACACACGAACGTATAAGCTTAAATCAATTAAGCTTATTGCAGTTTTAATAAAATATCCAAAATAGACGTAAACTGCCCTGGATCGAAGTAGCTGTCACGGATTTTCTCCATGCATTAGCTTCTTCTTGTAGAGATTTATTTTGAGAAATAAAAATTCAAAATTAAGTTTATGGCAGGAAAAATGTCAACTGATGTTACAACCACAAAACGGAGCGATTATATTTCAAGTTGCCTGTCCTTGATATAAACACTGCATGAGATAGTACTTTAAGCTTATATATACGTTGTGAGGAAATTGTTCTGATCAAATTTCGTCCCATCTGCAGCGATTCCAGTGTCTCAGTCCCGAAGATTTAGCTGTCGCTACGATGGTGCGGCAAAAAGATGTTCTCTCGTTCCTCTCCCACTCCGTTCCGTGCGTTGGTTGTCGGAGAAGGTATCAAAATGTTTCTATTTCCATCTTATTTCCTCATCGCCTTGAGATTAATTATTCACTATTCCAAACGAAATCTCAGTAACGTTTACAATTGATTTCCAAATATACATGTTGTTAAATGGTTTCATTTAAACCTGCAAGTGTTGTTTCCTGATTGTACCTGATGGGTTTTGTTTTAAAAAGTGTAAATATCTTGTTGTGCATGTCTGAAAATTGTAGTTGAAAGATTATGATATTGTGCCTTCGTTTATATCCAGCAGTTTTTATCAGCATTCAATTTATAACGTCTTATTATGACAAACACATGATATCCTGTGATTTCTGTTTTGCAGTAGTTTGTCAAATATATTTTTTCTGTTAAGGTCTAGT